GTCCTTAAAACCACCCACCCCCAGATCTGTGGGGAGAATGCCCGAACAGAGGGGCCCCCTCCACTCCAGAGTAGTACCTCAGTGAGGAAAGGCTGCATGTAGAAGCAAACTCCAGGATCAAATTATAATGGCCCACAACTTATCAAGCTCTGTGAGAACTCTGTTTAAGAAGTTTGAGCCGTAGCCAGTTAGCTCAGTGGGTAGAGCCTTGGCCTGCGGACTGAAGGGCCCTAGGTTCAATTTCTGTCAAGGGCATGTACCTCAGTTGCAGGCTCAATCCCCAGCCCTGGTGGGGGCCTGAAAATAGAGGCAACCAATCCATGTGTCTTCTCTGTGTGTTTATCCCCCTCCCATCCACTCTCTCTCTAAAAAATCAATGAAAAAATATCCTCAGGTGAAGATTTTTAAAAAAAGAAGTTTGCCTGCTCCTTCCCTGGGCCTGCCCCACCCCCAGGAGGTACAGCTGGGAGGGCACAGGGTGCACTGAAGGAATGCAGATGGTTATAGAGTCATATCTCTGTATGAACCCAGAGTAACTCAGATCAAGCCACCCCCCCCCCCCCGCCACACACACACACAATCAAACCACTCACCTCAGCCCCAGTTCTCCTTGGTGGCCTCCATGGAAAGAAGGGAACAGACAGATGCGTCCTGGGCAGTGGTAGCATGTCCTGTCCCTACATACTGGCTAGGAATGAAGCACACCAACCGGGGCCTGCAGGTGTGTCTTGGACGCCAATACGTGTATTCCTGGACCATGTATAAATGTGTGCCAGAAACTTCTGCACAGGTAATGTCCATGTGCTTGCTGGGAGCACACCTCTGTATACTAGCACTATACATCAGTCCATTTATATTTGTTTGTATTTGTGTACATGTGCACATATTTTGTGTGTGTGCTTATGTACACATGGTTGAGTTTATGTTTGTGCACTTAGATGTGTGGAAATGTGTGGATGTGGGATGTGTGGCTCTGTGTGCACTGACACTATACAGTCAGAACACACTGGGGAGAGCACAGGACTCAGGAAATCTGGGGATTTTGCTTTTCACTTGTTATGTACTCTTGTTTTTAATCCTCACCTGAGGACATGCTTTTATTGATTTTAGCGAGAGAGGAAGGGAGAGGAAAGAGGGAGAGAGAAACATCCTGTACTCACCCTGACCAGGGATCAGGGATCGAACCTGTAACCGGGTATGTGCTCCCACTGGGATTCGAAACCTCCACCTTTGGGTGTATGGGACAACCTCCTGTCAACTGAGCCACAATGGCCAGGGCTCACTTACTGTGTACTTTTGAGTGAGGCACTTTCCCTCTCAGTATCACCCCTTCTCCCCACCCCCAGTAAAATAAAACTTTTTTATTTAAGAATTCCTGAGGATCCTCTCCAACAATGGGAGTGCATTTAACAACTGGCCTAAAGCAGCCCTGCCCCTTTCCACAAGCAGCACCAAGAGTATCTCTCTCACCTGAGCTCAAAGTAAGACAGGAGACCCAGGTCTGTGGTGGGGGTGACCAGGATGTAGCCATACTCCACCCCTCCCCCAGGTGGAGTGAACATGATCTCTAAGGTGAACCTATGGTGACATCAGAGTAGATGGGCCCTAGGAAATGAGACAAAACTAGAGAGAACTGCTGCTGGCCTCCTCGCTGTTCCCCCTCCCCAGGTCTGTGCCTGGTGGAAGAGAGAATGGGGGCTGCCTGTATGGTCAGGGGAATGGCTATTCCCCATATGGGAAGAAAAAACAAGGTTGACTGTTGAAGGAACTGATGGCCACCCAAGAAGCACAGCAGACTCCTTCTCCCAGGGCAAGGAGTCTGACAGGGCCTCTCTGAGCCTGGCACTGGCCTTGGCCTCTAGGAGTCAGCCAAAGCTTACCCTTGGCCTGTGCTAGGCCTGTCTTACTGAGGGCATTGGGGTGGGAACAGGGGGTCTGGAGCACAGTGACCTTCCTGGTGATAGCATCTCTGGAAACCCTATCCCAGGTGATAAGGCTGTGGAGCCCAGGTAGGGGCAGTCTAGTGGGTCACGTCTTCTCTATTCCCAGGGCAGCCCAGCCCAAGGGGCCAGAGAACTGGGCACACACACCCACAAACACCAAACAGCCACACACCCAAAACATACACTTCCACCTCCCAACCCTAAATAAATATACTCAATACCACCCCTATACAAATGCCCACACACAATACAACCCACACGCATACAAGCTCACACAGAAACACAAAGCAGCCCCACACACCTAAATAGCCTCTCCACACCCACCTGCAGCCTCATCTCCCCGACCCTACCGAAGAAAAAGGGTTTTTAAGAGAAAAACAAAGACCTTTGGCCTCATAAAGAGCCAGGGATGCCAGGGATCAATACTGTTTAGACTCAGCTAGTGTGTATTTTCTCTTGGGCTGAGAAAGATTTAAGTTTATGGTTCAATTCAATCTTTAAAAAAAAAAAAAAAGGTAGAAAATGAGGAAGTTGAGATATCGCACTCCAGTATTTATTTCTATGCAGCCCCAGACTTTAAATACACAGGCGGCTCACTAAGCCAGCCCCATAAATCAGAGCTATCAATGCCTGTTTATGGTGATTACTACTTTCTTTCTTAAGAGGGGGTGCAAGAAAGAGGTCTGACCAGAGTCCTCCTCCGCTCTCCTCCACCCCAATCAGAAAGAAGGCAAATGGGCTGGGGAGGAAGAGAAGATGGGGAAGTCACGCTGGACGATTGACTTCGGGGTCTTGGCCAGATTCCTGAGGTAAAGGCCGGAGTACGGAGTATGGAACATAGAGAAAGACATAGCCGCAGAGGAGGCATGGACCAGATGTTTAAGTCCTGAGAGCTTCCGTTTCCTCTACCGAACAAGGAAGAAAATTCTCTTTGCTCATAGTGATTGAAAGAGAAAAGGAGAAAATGGGGAAGAAATCAAATTACATAATAATGACACATCTCAATACTTTACTAATACAATCATGGGACGGGGTCACCACCTCCTCTCTCTTCCTCAGGGTTAAAGGCAAGAGCTCTTGGCTTTGATCTCTCTCAGAAGAGGTGAAGAGGAGCCTTAAGGAACAGATGCCTCCTAGAATTGCTGCTTATGTTCATCCCTGCTCCAGCCTCTGGATCTGGTGGCCTTGAGGAGCTTAGGCACCCTCAGGGGCCACAGTGGGGAAGGGAGAAGGAAGGGTAGCCCAGTGTATATACTAGCTGAGCCTACAGAACAGTAAGGTTCTCTGTGGAACTGGGCACCTCCTAACATTGGATCTGGATGTGACCAGGAAACTTCTTAATGTTCTGAGCTGTCTGGATTCCAAAAGGAGTGCCCTGGGCCCCAGGTCTGAGACCCTGTAACCTGAAGGCCTGAAGAGAGTGAATATTCCAGGCTCCCCTCTCCCCCAAAGAAAATAAAATATGTACTTCCAGCCACCAGAAAAACACTCACCTGAGCCCACCCAAAGAAGGCCCATCTCACTGCTCCCAACTCTTCACACAAGGATTGGGTGTGAAAGGGATAGAAGGAAGAGATTAACTGCAATACATTGGGAGCCTATGGCAATGTCAAATGCGCTCTCCAACTCCAGGCCCCCAAACACCTAGCCCTCAAGCCTGGAGCAGCAACTTGCAGGGTCCCTAGGCTTTCTGGACCTGGAGCCTAGCACTGTCACTTCCCTAGACCTAGGCCTCAATCAGGGGGAATTTATAAAGAGGCAACATGACTGGCCATTCTTACTTCTCCCAAAATCAGTTCTGCAAAAACAACAGGAAAGAAACCCAAAGGAAGTATATAGAAACAGAGTTCCCATGCACGCGCATCTGCACAACACACACACACACACACACACACACACACAAACATTCTGGTATGTAACACAAATGAGCACATGAGTACACACTGTAAGCTGCTCAGACATCCAAGTGTGCATCTAATTACAGAGAAATGAACACCCAGGTGCACGACACAGGTGTAGAGGTACACAAAACCAGGTAGGTACTCATGCACATGGTCACATATGCACACAGGTTTTCAGGGACACCTCCATATCTAGCCACACATGTACAGGTACACACATACATATTGCAGAAGAAAGGGAAAGGGGGGAGGGCAGAATTTACTATTTTAAAAATCCTGAACAAAAGGGAGATGATACCTCCTACAGAGGGCCCTCCTCTTCCCACTCCTAGTCCCTGAATGCCAGGGTCCCAGGGTCTGCCCAGGAAGGATATGCCCTAGGGTCAGGGGCAAAAATCTAGACACTTCCCTCTGGGAAGTCCAGGCGTCTAAGGGTCCGGGAGCTTGTGTTTGAGTCCTCACCATCAGGAAGCAAGCAGGACTTTGTTGGGAATTCTGAAAAAGCCGCCCCTCCACCACCCTCCTCAGGTTTGGGGTGGGGTGAGACAGGCCTTGCCCACATCCTCCTTGATCCGGGCCCTGTAACCCCAGCAGCAGGACCCAGCGGCTGCTACTTTGCATAGCTTCCCAGCACCCAGGCCTCTTCCTCCCGGTTTGCGGGACAGGAGGGCTGAGCCCTAGGAGGCTCCAGGCGGCCCTCGCCCTGCTGCCGGGTGGAAGGAATCCCTCCTCTAAACGAAAGGCAGCGAAGCCCAGGCGGCCGAGAGGCCGGGCGAGCGCCTCGCACTAGTGGGCTGCCCAGGACCGGAGGCAGCCCCTCGCCTTTGCCCTGCCCCGGAAAGGCCTGCTCATGGAGGAGAAAACCTCGAACCCTGGAGCAAAACCCGCACCAGAACAAACATGAAAAGGAAATGTGCCGGCCGGAGCTAGAAGCAGGTTGAACAGGAGGAGGCTGCTGTGGGGACCCTGGCCCAGCGCAGGAGCAGCCCGACAGCCGACAGCCGGACAGCGCTTCCGAAGCCCAGCTCGGAGTTTCCGGCCTTCGGGCTCCTTTGAACGCAATCGGAAACCCGGCGAGTCCGGCCAGACTCTCCAGACCCGAGTCGGTCCCCGGATCGCCGCCCCGCTGCCGCCCCGCTGCCCCCTGGCCGCCCCATTCGTTGTGCGACGAGCGCTGGGTGCACTGTGCGCGCAGGGCGCGGGGGTCGCTAGGCCCTGCGCCCGCGCCCACGCCTTCCCCAGACCGAAAAGAGGGGGCCGCCGGCGCGCGTGAGCACAGTGTACACTTTATTTCAGACTACAGGTTTCTGAACATAATAAAATCTTTGGCTTGTAGCGGCGGTTCAGTCTCGCAGTCTGTGGGGTCGTATTTCTCAACAAGTCTCCGGAAAACGAAAGGGGGGCAGGACAGACAGAGCGACAGAAAGGGGCTGGGGAGGCGGGGGAGAGCGAGGAGCAGACACGCGAGGGAACACACTCTCACGCACACAAAGAAAAGTCCCAGAGAAACGAGGGCCAGCGATGCGGGGCGGGAGGCACCGGAGAAGCGATAACATCAAAAGAAAAAGGCAACGAAAACGAAACTGGGCCGGGGCAGCTCGGGGGGTGGAGGTGGGGGATAAAATAATAATTATTATAATAATTATAACAATAATAATAAAGGAGATTAATAAAAAGTCCAGCAAATAGAGATCGCTACACATCTTTCTTTTCCTTACCTGAAATTAAATATATACAAGGTCGTGAGCGGTTTGGCTAGATAGAGCTTTAAGGAGTTTGCAGTTACGTCCCTTATACTGTTTATAGAGAATAGATCTTATTTTTCGATAGCACCTGTCCGAGTCTCTCTTCCTTTTTAAAATCGTTGCCTTCGAGCGTGACTCTCCATTCTGGGGAGCCCTCTCTCTTTCCCCTGTTGCTCCCTCTCTCTTTTGCGCAGATTCTTTCTCCCCGGAGCTGGGCTGGCGAGGCGGCCACGGCGGTGCCCGGCGGGCGCGGGCGCAAAGGCGGACCGCGCGGCCCCAGCCTGGGCGGCTACTCGCTCTCGTCTTTGTCCTGGACCGTGGTGGTGGAGTGGTTGTACAGTCCCTGCGCCATGAGGTGCAGTGCCAGGCCGTTCTTGATGCCGGTGGCTTTCTTGATCTTGGCGCGCTTGTTCTGGAACCAGATCTTGATCTGGGACTCGTTGAGACTGAGCTCCTGGGCCAGGGTCTGCCGCCGCTGCTCCGTGATGTAGCGGTTTGCCTGGAACTCCGCCTTGAGTCTCTGCAGCTGCTCGGCGGTGAACGCCGTCCGAGGCCGCTTGTCCTCCTTCTCGTTCTTCTTCTTCTTCAGCTTCCTGGTGCGCGGACCTGCAGCGGCGGGCCGGGCCGGGTGGGGGTGGGGACAGAGGGCAGAAGGGAGGGGGGTGGGGGAGAGGGCAGAGGAAGCCGTGAGAATAACGGAGTGGAGCGGGATCGCGCCCCCGCGCTTCCGCGGCGATAGCGGAGGCCCTGCCGCGCCCCTGGCCCCCGGCTCCCTCCCGGCAGCGGCTAACCCCTGCATCCATCAGCGGGCCGCTGGGGTCGCCTGGTTCCTTTCTCCGGCGCCAGAAAGGCACAAGGAAAACTGGCCAAGGCTGTCTGTGTAGCCCACACCCCAATTCAGAACAGGAGAGCCTAATGACAGGCTTAAATCACAGACTCCAAGATGGAGAGAGATTTGGAGCCCCATCCTGTCCAGGCCAAAGTTGGAGGTCAGGGGCCTGCTGCCTTTTCAGCCCTGAAATAAAATGAGGTTCAAGGCTGGGGCAGTGAAGACACTAGGGCAGGACTACCCTGCGGGAATTGTCAGTCTCCCTCCTCAAGAAGCACAACTACACCCGCACCTCCAAGAAGACCCCATCTGCTGTGGTTATTTACCCAGAAAACAAGGAGATAGGCAAGGGCTGTGAGAGGCTTAACTGGTTTCCAAGTATTCAGTGTCTGTTCTGTCTACTCTTCCTTTCTCCGCTTCCCCCCCTTGGCCTAAAGAAGGCCTGTATAGGGAGATCTCTCCCTTCTCTAAAGAGGGAGATGAGGCCTTCACTCAGTAGCAGCCTTACCCACATGCCCCCTTGGATAGTGCCGGTAAGAAAGAGAGGGCCCTCCCCAGATGCAGGGACAGCGTCCCCTTTTCTCTTTTGAACACATCGGCTGCAGTGTCAGGATTGAAAACTTCTGAATAACAAAAACAAATCAGATCTGCTTTCTTTGCCCACCTATGCCATTTGCAAGGAGACTACATCCTTCCTGCCGCCCTGTATGAGCAAAATAAGGGCAGAGGAACACAGAGAGGGGAGCAGTCGCAACAAAAAACGTGTGCTTTGCCCCTGAGATGGATATGGAAGGAGGCCATATCCATCTCCCTCCAAACCTGATCTGGGAAGAGGGCTGCCATGGACTCAGCCTGGAGAGAGGAGCGAGGAAGCCCATGAACCTGCACCTCTGTCCATCAGCCTCCATGCCCAAGTCTGCTGGCATCTACCGCCTGGTCCCTGTCTTGGTTATGGGAGCTTACTGAGCCCAGTGAAGACCCTGACAGGCCTGTTAACCTCTAAAACTGTCTGGAAAGAAGGGTCTTCACCGGTGTCTCCAAACCTAGCAACAAAGGGATAAGCAGCAGCGGGCTCCTGGGCAGGCCAAGGCCTGGAGTCGCCAGCTACCCTGTGACAAAAGAGTCTAGGCCTGGCCAACCACAGAGACTCAAGTGGCTTAAGGTTCATCTCCCTCAACTGTCCACGCAGGAGCAGGAGCCAGTACCCTGCCTCCTCGTCCCCTAAGAGGGACTGAGGCCAAGAACAAAGACGAGGCCCACTACCCAGCAGGGTGAGAGAGGAATGGGAGGCAGGCCAGGCAGGAGGAAGGCCTTGATTTAGATTAGTAATTCTCGGAGCAGGCAGGGATGGCCCAGGAAATGTGGGCATCCCAGAAAGGCCACACTGTGTTGTGTGTCCAGGACGTTGTTAGTGTAGTGTGTGCCTGTGTGTGTGCGTGTGTGTGTGCAGAGGCACAGACACTTGTAATAAAATCGTAGCCTTTTGGCCAGCCTGAGCTGTAGGGCCTGACAGCTCAATCACTCTATCCATCAGGCGAGTCAATCAAAGCAGCTTTTCGGAGGTTCAGGGAGCCCGACGTGTCAATAACCGGGCTGAGATGGCAGGGGCTGATAGCACGCATCGATCCGCGCTTGGCCAGCACTGGCCATTGCAGCGGGAGTAGAGCGGTGTATGGCTATGCTTTGCCCAGCCTCCTGCCGGGCCGGGTGCCCCAACCCAATCCCAGGCCAGAGCCCCTGCCGGCCATGCGGGCTACGAGAGCCAGAGAGGCAGGCCGGCCTTAGCTTCCTCTCCTGGGCCTATTGGCCGCAGTCTCCTCTCCTAGGACAGATCTTGGCCTTGGATCCTCCAAGCGCAAGGTATACTAGGAAAAGGGGCCAGAGGAAAGTAAAAAAAAAATAAAAAGTGCAGGGGCTAGGCTGGCGGAAGTCTGCTAACCGGCAGATGTGCTGTGCGGTAGGAAGGAGTTGATAGGAAGGAGTTAAGCAAGGAAGATGTGCAAGCCGACGACGCGGAGAAGCTGTGGAGGCCGCCTCTAAGTCCTCCGCCTGGCTTTCTGGACTGAGCCTGACCTGTCCTCCCCTCTCCCACTGTCTGTAGGTCATCATCAGCTCCGGGGAACCGGGAGCCAGTGGCTCTCGTCACGCGCCGTTTTGTCTACGGCCGTTCCCTGGCTTCTACCCACCCGGGTTGGATTCTCTTTGCTACCGGCCTGGGGAAGAAGGACAGCGATCAGACGCTTTTCTCTTTCCCTGTGCGTCCTCAAATCTGTCCCTATGTAAATGCACGCTACGCAGACACCATCACGATGGTGTTTGTGTCTGTAAGAACACCCAGGGGAAGGTTATTTCTCTGGTCAAAGCCTTGCTGGATTTCAGCCTCTGCAGGACCACGCTGGCGGGATTGCAGACCCCAATCATTAGGCCCACCTTCCCGCCGGCTCTAAATACCTCTTTTTCTGGAAGGAAAATCAATGACTGACTGTGTCTTTCCTGATAATAATAATAAAGGCAAAACACAAAGAAGACCCCAGAGGCTCGGAGTTCAAAATCGAAGGATGGAGACTCGAGCTTCCAGTGCTGTAGCCTCCGCAAAAGCCAGGAGCGCAAAACTGGGTGCACACTCGGTTGTGCCTGGGACCAGAGCTGAGAAACAGGCAGCAGGCGTGAGAGAGGAGAGCGACCGAGGCCGGGATTGCTCTCCCCAGCGCCGCGGTTAAGAGTCCTGGTGCATCCGCGGGGCTGGAAGGCAAGGCGCAGCCCGGGGCTGGGTACTCACCGGAGGACGGACGATCGGAGTAGCGTGTGCAGTAGACCCAAGCGGGCCACACGAGAGGCTGCTGCGAGTCCGTTTTGACCACGGGCCCACCGTTGGCTGCGCCCATAAGCAGGATGGCTGGGTTGCCGTGCTCCGGGTACTTGGCACCCTGCGCACCGGGGCTCCCCACGCCGCCGCCACTGCCGCCGCCGCTGTCTGAAGGCTTGGCTGTTGCTGCTGCCGCCGCCGCCGCCGCCGCCACGGCCGCTGCCGCCGCCGCCGCCGCCGCCGCAGCTGCTGGGTTCCCAGCCTTGGACGCACCCGTGCCTCCGGCAGCGACTGACGGGGAGCCGTCGGGTGGGCCACAGTTTGCGTCCGGGGAACAGAGGAGCGAGGCGGCGCCTGGTGCCCGCGTGCCCAGCGGGTGGACAGGGTCTCTACCTGAGCCGGTCTGGCCTCTGTCACGCTCCACCCGGCCTCCTCCTGCGCCTCCTCCGGCCGCGGCCGCCACCAGGAGCTGCTGCGGCGACTGCTCCTTTTTGCAGCCGAAGTCCGGCCTCAGGATGTTGTCGATGAAAAAGTTGGTGGTGCGGTGCAGCTGGGCCGCGGGCTGCGGCTGGTGAGCAGGCGCCACGAGATGCGGCGGCGGCGGCAGCGGCGGCGGCGGGGGCGGGGGGTGCGAGGGGAGGTGCGGGTGGTGGGCCAGGGGCGGCAAGCAGGGCGCCGTGGGCGGCGAGGGGGGCGCGGGCTGCGGGGATACCGGCACGCTGTCTCCATCGCTGCCGCTGCTGCCGCTGGCGCCGGGGCTGAGGCTCAGGCTGAGGCTGCCCGGGGCCGCCGCCACCGCCGACGCGCTGAGGCCCGAGTCGCGCTGACTTTTAGGTTCCGGCTGCTGTTCTTCCATACTCGGCCGCCCCGCCGCCCCGGCCGCCGCGCCGGCCCCCGCCCCCCCTGTCTCGCTCCCCACCCCACTTTGCCAGCGGCCCGTGGGGGTGCGCGGACGAAGGAGGCCTGAGAAGCCTCCGCGAAGGCACAGGGCGGGTGCAGGAGAGAAAAAGCCCAGGCGCCCGGCCTGGATCGCTCGCTCTTACCGAGCAGATGATCTCGCTGTCTCTACCTCTCCCTAATTTGTAGACATCCAGATATGGAGACACTTGGCTATTTCTCTTTTCTTTCTGCAACCAAATTAAACGACTGGTTTTAAATGGGGAGTAAGCCACGGCCAAAAAAGAAAAAAAAAAGACAAGAAAGGAAAAAAAGAAAGCAAGAAAAAAAATTTTAAAGCTCCAAGATTTTTTTTTTCTTAAAGGGAAAAAAAATAGTCTTTAAAGTCTAGCCATCTTCCTAGGCAGTAGTGAGGGGTTTGACTCCCCGAGTGTCACGCTCAGCTGTGCCCAGAGCGCGAGGCTGGCAGCGCCTTTAATCGCCTTTGCTTTTTTTGCAGGGAGAGCGCGTCTCCGCCAGCGCCGGGCTGCCTTTTTTTTTTTTTTTTCTTCAAATCTCTGACAGCTCGGATCTTTGCACAAACTCTCTCGCTTAAAAAAAAAATCACCCAGGCACACTTTTTGCCTTCAAACCGGAAGCACGTGAGTCAGGGCCGCACGTGTGCGGGGCCAATGGCGAGCCAGGACTCGCGCTGACACCCGGGCCTCGGCCCAATGGGCGCGCGCGGGACTTTGCGGATAAATAATCCGGGGGCGGCGGCTGCGGGCGCTGAGGGGGCGACTCGGCGCGGGCCCGGGGCCTCCGGCCAGCCCTCCCCAACCCACACCCCAGCCCCTCCCCCCATTCAGGCCAGGACCTAAGAAGGGGCAAAGGAGACCCAGGAGAGGTAGATCTCGGGGTAGGCAAATAGAGAAGTAACTCTGTAAACAACTTGTTGGAAAAATGCAGGGTTATGGGTGTGTGCGCGCCGGGTGCAGGGTCAGGAGGCTGCGGCCTCTGCGCTTTTGTACTCACACGCTTAAGGAACTCAGCCTTGTATTTCCTCGTTTTCTTCTTGCTGTTATGAAGGTGAAAGTTGTCATTGTCCGTGTGTGTAGTGAGAGGGAGGGGTAAAACCAGGAGGGTCGGAGATGTGAAATAGACCTAGAGTTGAATATTTTCAGAGAAGCAGTTTATTTTTCACAAATAGCAAACCCGGGGGGCCAGCTGCGCCTCTCTAGAACCGTCTGTTTGTAGGTTTGCAGTCCATGCCAGTCGGTTGCACTGGGTGTCCTTTCCGGGGTATCCACACCCATGCCCTTCCTTGTCCCGACCTTCTGCAAGCCCCAGGAGGCGTCCTGGCGCCATTAAGCCCGGCCCCGAGGGCGCGAGAGAGCCCCACCGCCGGCGGGCCAGCGCCTATTCCTTCCCGGGCCGCCGTAGTCTAAGCCTTCCCGTCAGCATAGAGTTACCCTGGCCAGGCCTCTGGGCCAAGCAAGTCAGGGTGCGGATGCGCCCAAGGCTCCGGCTTTTGGGTCCAAGTCAACCTCCGTGTTAAATTTCCCTGCAAAGTGAAATCAGACAAATACTAGTACTGCCCCCCGGTATTTGCCCTCGCCAGCTGACGCTGTGGACAGCCGGTGCACCCCAGTTGCCCAGATTTCCTGAGGTTACTCCCCACTCCCTGGAGGCCTCTGGCACTAGCCCCGTGTTCTTCTTTGGGGGATGGCGGGGTCCCGCTTCTCCCGAGCTCACGGAGATCGCCCGCAGCCCGCTAGGCTCATCTTCTCTGTTTTCCCATCTCCCGGGCTGGGGGGTGGGAAAGTAGGGGGATGTGAGGTGCTGGGCACTGGCTGGACTTGTCGGCTGAGGGGGTTGGGAAGACGAGGGTCCGACTGTGTATGTGATAAAACCCGCTCTGGAGGGTGGCGGCTAACAGGCTCGGGCAGCTGAGGCCTTGGTGGGGATGTCATCTTGGATCTCCCGAGAACCTGGTGCCCTGACCTCCATCCTCAACTGGGATGGCGGAGAAAAGCATCTTTTGGGGGATATTGCCTAATGGGAACATACAAAACAATCCCCCTTGCTCAGAAGTCACAGGGGTTAGGAGGAAAAGAAGAGGGAAATACACAACCAGCCGAGCCAGCGCAGTAGCCGAAGTTTCTCCGAGGGCCTGGCGGGGCGGACTGCCTTCGCTCAGCCGAGGGTCCTCGTAACCCGGCTCTGGAGTTTCTAGACCTGCCCCCGGGGCCCGAGGCGGCCAGAGCCACTTTCCGAGCCCTGCGCTGAGCAGACCAGCCCCGCTCCCCTCAACCCTCCCTAGCCGCACCCTAACCCACCGCGAGGTCTTCGGGTCCTCTTCAGTTCTACACCCAAGGGCTCCCCGAAATCTCTCGGTGCCCCCACCCCTTCTCCCCGAAATGGGGTTGGGATTTTATTTATATTTAAGTTCGCAAAATTGAAATCTTTATCCCGCAAGCGAGCGTGGGTACTTAATTAAATTCTAATTAGGACACTATCAATATCCTATTTAGCCGCGTAGCTTTTGTGCGCCGCGGTCCCTTTCAGCGCCGTAAATAGGGTCTCGACGCCTTATCTCGCCTGCAGGAGACGCCTCGAGAAGGGCTGCGGAAGATAATTTATAGGTTTTAATTACTCTTCATTCCGCCTGATCAGCTTGGCGTTCATCACAGGCCTGTGAATAAAACCCTGGTCAAAAGCTCTGTCACATCGCGCTGGCAAGACGCTTAATCAAAGTGAGCGGCCCCGCGCGCCGCGCCGCCCGGCTCCTCCACGTAATTTCCAGCCAGCTGATAAAGCCAGCTGAATAATGCGGCGGCCCTTTGGAGACACCATTTACAGAAATGACTTTATTGACGGCTTAACGTCGGTAATTCATTTTACCTTTCATGTAGTGGAGCCCGGATTTGTTACAGTAATGGGATGATAAATGCACCCGCGGCCCACGAGCTCCGGCTGGATTAGGAGGTGCGCTGCGCGCTGGCTGGTCCCCCCACCTCCCCTAGGCCGGGCCTGCGCGCGGGATGCTCCGCACCCAGCGCCACCCGCCCTCCACGACCCCCACCCGAGCCCACGCCCTCTCTCAGGCCTGAGAATGAATAGACTATTGGAACTCGGTGTTCAGGGGTTGGTGTCCTGGCAAGCCCGAGTGAGGCGCGAGTGCTCAAAGTGAGCAGAGGTTGGCCGAGATGGGTGTGTGAGGGACCCGGATGAGTCGGAGGGAGCCCAAGACTAGCCTGTGGTGAGGAAGTACCAGCAGGGGAGTTGTGTGTACAACTATGTGGGTGAAGGGACTGGGTGTGTGTGGAGCGGTGTGTGCGCAGTTCTTTTAGGGGTACCGTTTCTGTCTTTGGAAATTAAGGAACTTCTTCCAATTTGATAGCTGCCCAGGTGGGGGTGGCAGGGAGGTGGGCTGACCGGAAGCAGTGGGGTGATCTACCAGGAATGGAATGGAGCCCCTTTTTCCAGAAGCCCTCTGGTCTGGGGATAAAGGCATGGGAGTTTGGGGACACCCAGTGCCCATTTCTATTGCCTTGAAGTTCTGGGCTGTGCAGTTCCCCTGGAGCAAGAGCCCCACAGACGGCCACTGACCTATAGCCATGTCTCTGCAATAAATTGATTGTCCCCAAGTTCCACTTCCATACCCAGCCCACATAAAAGTGGAGAATGACAATGAAGAAAACGATTTTGTTTTATTTTAAATGCCAAAGGGGGGCAAAAAACCCCCCAAACACCGCCTATGATTTCTTTCTTCATTTGAAGGCCCACGGGTCCCAAAGGGGCTTTCAGTAGTGGGGGGTGAGGTAAGCAGGACAAGAAGAGACCACAAGTCTCTCCCATTCTCAGACTTCCTCCATTCTCTGCGCCTACCCAGGGGCTTCCACGAAAGAGGCACGGAAGAGGCACCTGGCCAACCAGACCGGGAGCGTGTGTTTGGATGTTTGAGGGCACCGAGAAGTTTGGGGATCATGCAGTAGGAAGATGGGTGAATGCTTCTCAAGGTGAAGGCTGAGAAATGGCACCTTTGTTTCAGCCCTTGCCCAATCTTGCCAAAACCACTTACCAATGTCTAGAATGGCCTGCAGCCGTGGGGGGCCAGAGCCTGCATTTGTTTCTTTTGCTCTATATGTGGGGACCACAGAGAGGTAAGGGTCTGTAGAAGCATTCTTTGTGTGTATTTGTGTGCCTGGCAGAAGGCTGGCTGGTCTATGTAGACATCAGTGTGTACACCGAGTCTTCCCCCCGCAGCTGGGTGCAGAGCACTGTGCTTGCTAAGAGTTTCGGTGTGTGCTGCTTGGAAAGGAGAAATCGGCCACCAGCCTGCATTGCCACATACTTTTGGATTTCGTTTAGGCAGAGACGAATGTCCTGGTCCTGCCTGCTCCCACCTCTCTTCTGAGGTTGGGTGTGAGGAGGGGCATTGTGAAAACACCTCGCAGCCTCTGCATGCGTGTGCGCGAAGGGCCGAGAGTGCGAGCGTGTGCATGCACACGGTGGTAATCGCATTTCGAGTGTAGATCAGATGGCGGTGGGGCCTCGGTGGTGCGGGACATGAATAAGTTGTCGCAACACAATAGCGCGCAGCCTTCCTGCGGGGACTGGGTGACCAGCGGTTTTGTTGGGAGTGAATGCGAGGAGATTTCTACTACAAGTGCCGCGGTATTATTATGAGGCGGAAGGTCAGACTATACATCGCAGGTCCCCAAAGCCTATAGACCTTGGGAAATGTGAGGCCTCGAGCCACGTCATTATACCTGACAGTCCTTTCAATAGACTAATTCAATTAGCGCTGGGGTTTCGGTCTTCATTTGTAGGCTATCGTAACGTGGGGGGTGGCTGGGTGCAGGGGATTCGTTGAGCAGTGGTTAGGGATCCTAAGCCATTCTGCCTGAGCTTGGAGACTGGGGTGGTGGGGAAAGGGGGAAACCTAGGGGGGTGGGGGGGGCGGTGGGAGGCAAA